GTATTGTTGAATGAATAAATGATTGAATGGATGATGTATTGTTTTGTTAACATCTTTGTTCATTTGTTTTAATGAATAAGAAAATCCTTTAATTAGTATATCAAGTTTTGTGTGCAAATCTGGCTTCTAAAACATATCTTAAATATATTAAACACTGATCTTGCTTATACTGCGTACTGTCTCAAAAACATTTTCTACACAATTTGCAAAGTGCAAATTTTATCTGGGTTTCTATACAAATCAACATATATTCTTAATTAGTGACATAATTGGGAGCTCTTACTAAAGTAATAAGTTACCTCCATGCAAATTAACTAATGAGCTTCATTCTTTTAGCAGAGTGGCATCTTGGGAGGTTTACTGATAAGAAAGATGTATACCTGAACTGCTTTGTTAGACACTCACTATGCACAATGCACAGCGCTAAAGTAGGTTCTCAATCACAGAGTGAGGTCCAAGCCCTTCTTATACCATGACAAAGCTATTGCCATATTCTTCTGGGTGGTGTCCTGCTCACCATTTCTTCCTTCTTATAGACACAGTTTACCTGTTTCCAGATCAATATTGCTAATGCAGACCTCTGGTTATATCATTACTCTGCTCAGAAATCTGCATGGCTCCCCTTTTCCAATTAAATAAAATCCAATCTCAAAAAATGGATATGCGAATCCTCTATAATCTAGTTGCAATCTGCTTTTCCTATGTTATTTTCTCATTTTTCTGCCCTGCTCTGCAATCAGAGCCTCAGGCTCACCACTCCCTGTTACATTCTCCACCTCCTTACCTTTCCTGATAACATTCCTGAATCTGGAAGATTTATTTAAAATTCATATCTAGGCTGGAGCAATAGTGTGATGAACACAGAGTGTGGTAGCGTTATTGGTCCCTGTCACCTAGGCACTAAATTTCTATAAAATGAATTTAAGGTTACTTTTCTCCTTTATTGTACCCATGATGCTCTATGGTTCACATTCAGCTGATATTCAACTAAATCCTCCAGGTCTTATGTATATGACCTTCCATCAAGCCGAGTTTTACACATTCTTAGTGTGGTTTGTGAGCTAACTGCAACCCTGTGCATTTGGCCCTCTTAAAATCTCTACTTTTCTTTTTGAAACCATATCTCTTGATTATGCCATCTTCTCTCCACTTCTACTGCCATTTCCTTAGCCTTGCCGCTTTAAGCACCCTGTGAAACCAGCAGAGAGACAGGAAGAGAAGAAGCCAGAGGAGGGAAGGAGCATTATTCCTCATATAAGAAATTACATTCATCTCCCTCCTCCTTCCAAATCATTTCCTATAGAACTAGCAGGAAAAAATGTTTTCTAAAATCATGTCTGATGGTATTGTCCCTCCCCAGATAAACCTCTCTCAATGGCTCTCCATTACCGTCTTCTTGGCCTCAGACCTTTTGTAATTCATTTCCCACCCTCATCTCCAGCCTTATTTCTCACTGTTTATCATCATGCAGCTTGCACACTCTGTCTCTGGCTTTTGCACACGCATCTCCCCGAGTTGAAAGCATCAGTCCCCAGCTTCTCTTCCTGGCTAACTGTAATTCCTTCTTCAAGACTCAGCTCTGGTACTTCCTCCATTAAGAAGCCTTCCTTGTCACCCTAGAGTAAAACGTGCAGGTGCCCTTGCTCTCTGTTCCAATGGTTCCCAGGTTTACCTCTATTATGATGCTCATTACCCTGCTTTAGAATTGCCTGTTCATCTTTCTTTCTAGAAAAATCCATCACTAGACTTTGAGCTCTTTGCAAACAATGAGTGTGTCTTTCAACTCTATAACTCTAGTGCTAAGAACAGTGCCTGGCATCAGTTTATTTTGCCAATAAAATTGTTCCTGGTTTTCCTTTTTCTCGTTCATCCAAGAAGAGTCCAGGGCAAGATAAAGAGTCTGGGGCATGAACATGGTAGAATTTGATTTAAGCAGAACCTGGATTTCAACCTTTTAATCTTTTAATGAATACAGTAAGCATTGAAACTACACTATGCATTGTCATTACCTTACAAAGACTGTGAAGTGTGACTATAACTTAAAGCTATCAATGAGATGATTTTAATTTATCCTTACTGTAAAAGTGAAAATAAAACAAACAGAAATAATCTCTCATAAATGGGAATTCTCTGAGACCCAATTTCCTCATGCAGATTGCATAGAGAAACAAGCCCTGGATTTTCTGGTCTGGGAAAATGGAAGACATTTAGATCCTGGTTGATTTGCCTTTTTGTGACACATGAATGCCTCAAAGACACCCAAGCATTGTCCTCCGGTCATGGCCATCTTGAATGTTATTTAATACGGATAACAAGGAATGGTTTTACGGGAATGAGGGACTTATACAATCTCTGAAAGATTTCTAAAGACTTCTAGTTCTTCTTTTCTGAGATTATTTAAATATATATTTATTCAGGGGCAGTCTTTGAAGCATCCATCCAGTTAAAATCTATAATCACTAAGCCCTACATATTCTTAAAATAATGAAGGGCTTCTCTTTCTACAACTTCACTTTCCTGATCACTAAATTAGCCAAGTGAAATTACCTATTTATTACTAACCATTTTATTCCCTAGGCTATGTCAGCAAGTGCAAGTGTGTGTGTGTGAGGGTGTGTGTGTGTCTTAAAAAATCTGAAACTAAGTTGCTCCTCAGAAACACAACTGTAGTCACCTTTCCCTTATAGTACCTAGGTAATTATCAATTGATTAATCTGTATATCGTAATGATTTGTGTCCCTACTTCTCTAAAAAAGCAAGAAACTGTTTTAAAGTCTAAGATAATTGAGACTTCATTACTTGTTGCAAAATAGAATTCATTTTAAGTGGTAGAGCCCCACTGGGGAGTGCTAACATGAATAATTACCATTACATGCAATCTACCAAAATGAGTAGTTTCATTGCATTTAGTGATAGTATAGCATCTTCAAATGTGATTGACATTTATATCTCTAATGAAAATTAGTACATTCTTCACACTTTCAGATTTTTCTATGTCCCTTCTGTGGCAGCATAGCTTCTTACTGCTTGTATATGCATTTGTAAATTAATGGGTAATGTTTGTGACGGGCAATGGATGAATGTGTTTTGCTGAGAGCTGTAGGGGAGGAGAACTATTCCTCTACCTTCTAGGTCCTTCTGGCTGGTCTAAGAATTAAACTAACATGAGATAGAACAACGAGAGAAAATCAAGTAAAGTTTAATAACATGTATACATGGGAGAAACCCAGGAAATCTGAGTAACTCACCAAAATGATGGAAGCAATTACCTTAAATACCATCGTCAGCTAAGGACAAAGGAGGATGTTGGGGTAGTGGTTTGGGACTTCAAAGGGGAGGAAGGCAATTTACATGGAGATGGAAAAGCAAATGTTTGATAAACAGATGTTGACTATGCCTTGCAAAGACAATGACAGATGGAGAAAACTTTGATCAAATGGGCCTTGCTGAGTTCCTCCCCGTTTATCACACCTAGTTTATATCATGCAGTATTAGCTCCTTCCTGGAACAGGCCTTCTATCTGAAATTCCTTTAGGCAGTTAGGGGAAGGCGAAAGTTTCTTTCAGAGTCTTTTGTTCTTAAAAATAATCAAGCCATAGAGACACTCATTTTGGGATGGCACATTCTAATCCCTCACAGAACCTAGGCTCATATCATCTGATTCCTCAAAACAATCTTTTATGTTACATTCCACATTCAATTTAATTCTTTTTCATGTGAAATGTGTGTTGGGTACCCTCTATGAGTTTAGTAATGTAGTACTTGGTGTCTCCAATTAGAAAAGTTCTATGAAAGGACTTGGGAAAGTGACCTGGGGATAGCCTTGACTGAAAAAACTTGAACAACAGCCGCCATATCTGGAATATTTGTTCTATGTCAGAAGGTGTGGTGTGTGCTTCATGTGCATTATTTCCAGCTCTTGGTAAAGGAGGAAGTATTATTTTACCCATTTTGCTGATGACAAAACTGAAGCTTAGAGCTCAGTAAGTTGTCCAAGGACAATGTTATAAGGTGGCTGGACCAATTCAAACACAGATGTGTCTGATGTTACAGTCTGGGCTTTTATCCTGACACAAGGTCGCAGCGAAGAGTACAGAGGTGCCACAAACTTCCACGTTACCTCTCATTGTCTTATCTTCCCAGAATCAAGAAAAACACAGAGGCTCCAACCAAGCATTTTCCTGTCTCACCCAGATCAGAACATATACTGACAGTGCCCGGGTTCCCTGGGTTGGGAATCAGTGTATCATTCAGTTGGTAATTTTCCTTTCTTTGGCTTCTGGCAGAAGCTCTCTCTAGAGCCAGAGCCAATTGTTTTTCTCTAATGACTTAGAGGGAGGGTAGCCTGAGGCCATCCTGAGAACTGCCAGTCTATTTATCATCTTTTTTGTTTGTTCCATGGATGATATCCAACAGGCAGCTTTGACTGGTCTCCTGGGGACAGATATGTTGATTGTTTACACTCTACAAAGAGAAACATTGGTAACAAGATTTAACTGTTTTCTAAAATTATGAATGCAATTTTTAAGCAATTATAAAAGTATATGCATACTTATTAAAACTCATTCCTAGCAGCAAAAATTATTTATCAAGCTGATTTAGTTGCAATCAAATGTAGTGAGTAATAGAAAAAAGACATGTTAAGGATGCCGCAAACCTCCTTAGCTTGGAAACTTGTGAGAATATATAATTAACAGTTTATAACAGAAAACAATTAACACATCCCTTATCTAGAAATAAAGAGATTTGGAGCAAGATCAAGAGCCAAACGCCTAGCCCAGGTGTTAAACCTGAGGGTGAGATCTCATCGGCTCAGAGAAATAAGACTCTTCTCCTAGAAAAAGTCTAGCTAATTAATTCCTGAAGAAAATATAGGCAATGCCTTTTTTAAAAAGATTAGAGTTTCTTTTTATTAAGACAGAGAAGCAAAGATGAGCACTGTTTCCTGTTTTGGGCGTCACCTCTCTTCCTTACTTTTTGCCTTTGCTCCTCTTTGCCAGGTTTCTAGCCAACACCACCTTCAGAGGCCTCAGTGGTTCCATCAGTGTAAAAGGTTCCTCCATCATCAGCTCAGAAAACAACTTTTTCATCTGGAATCTGCAACATGACCCCCTGGGAAAGCCAATGTGGACCCGCTTGGGCAGCTGGCAGGGGGGAAAGATTGTCATGGACTATGGAATATGGCCAGAGCAGGCCCAGAGACACAAAACCCACTTCCAACACCCAAGTAAGCTACACTTGAGAGTGGTTACCCTGATCGAGCATCCATTTGTCTTCACCCGGAAGGTAGATGATGAAGGCCTGTGCCCTGCTGGCCAGCTCTGTCTAGACCCCATGACTAATGACTCTTCCATGTTAGACAGCCTTTTTAGCAGCCTCCATAGCAGTAATGATACAGTGCCCCTCAAATTCAAGAAATGCTGCTATGGATATTGCATTGATCTGCTGGAAAAGCTAGCAGAAGACATGAACTTTGACTTTGACCTCTATATTGTTGGGGATGGCAAGTATGGAGCCTGGAAAAATGGGCACTGGACTGGGCTGGTGGGTGATCTCCTGAGTGGGTCAGCCCACATGGCAGTCACTTCCTTCAGCATCAATACTGCACGAAGCCAGGTGATAGATTTCACCAGTCCTTTCTTCTCCACCAGCTTGAGCATCTTAGTGAGGACCCGAGACACAGCAGCTCCCATTGGAGCCTTCATGTGGCCACTTCACTGGACCATGTGGCTGGGAATTTTTGTGGCTCTGCACATCACTGCCATCTTCCTCACTTTATATGAATGGAAGAGCCCCTTTGGTATGACTCCCAAGGGGCGGAATAGAAGTAAAGTCTTCTCCTTCTCTTCAGCCTTGAATGTCTGTTATGCCCTCTTGTTTGGTAGAACAGTAGCCATCAAACCCCCAAAATGCTGGACTGGAAGGTTTCTAATGAATCTTTGGGCCATTTTCTGTATGTTTTGCCTTTCTACATACACGGCGAACTTGGCAGCTGTCATGGTAGGTGAGAAGATCTATGAAGAGCTTTCTGGAATACATGACCCAAAGGTAATACTTCTTTTTACTCTAGCTTTCTTTATTGCCCATTATAACTCCATATATTTTGTCTTATGCTACAGTATGTCTATGTCCTTTCACCTGACAAGAGAATATTCTCTCAGCCATCTCTAGAGACTAGTGCCAAAGTCTGCTGCTTAATTGAACTAAATATTTCCTTGTTTTATTAAGTGAAACAATGAAAATGAGGAGTTTTAAGGGGTGTTTATCCTAGAGAAAGTCTTTCTGGTAGAAACAGTTATTAGTGTAGTTTGTCCTTATGTTGTTTGACTGTCTGACAAAATTACTATCAAGAAATAGTCTTACAGAGAATTTTCACCCAAAGCAGACTTCAAAAACTGATTAATTAATTTTCTTGGGAATGAATGGAAATAAAGAGTGGGACCCATATTTTAAATAGTAAAGAATCCTTTTTTCTCCATTAAAAAATAATAAAATGAAAAGAACTAACATTTTATCCTAAGCAAAATCAGATGCTAGAGAACTCAATGCATATAGAACAGGGAGTACTGAGCTGAGGTGGCAGGATTAGCTAAGAACAGGGTGTCCTTAAAGAGTAGGGGAAGCTGTACAGTTGGCCACCTTGGGTTAGAGGAAAGTGCCAGCAGTTACATTGCAGTGTCCAAGGATATTCAAGAAAATTGTATCTATTCCAGACTGCCTTTAGTATCCTAGACATCTGATCCTAAGAGCAGGAGGGTAGAGTTCAGGTAGACAGGTAAAGCAGTGGTGATACTGGAGTAAGGACAGCCATGTCTGTGTTCTCTCTGGATTGAAACAGGACCCCTTTCAGTGAGTGGGGGTATGGAGAACCTATTCCAACCTGATAGGAGTAGAGAAGAGGGGGCTGTCAAAGTTCAAGGCAAGTGGAATAGGGTTCAAGGGAGCCCTACACACCTGATGAGAAACAGAATGTAAATCCAGAGCAGAAGTGTGTTCCAATGCGTAGGACCCACCTGGGAGAGACTGAAGACACCTGCAATTCAATGGGCCTACTCAGCACACACTGTGTTTAAAGCAACCTGAACTAAGGTGAGCATTTCAAGTTGTGAAACACTCTTCATGCCTTTTCATATACCTCTTTCCACACCAAGTCTGAAAGTATTGAAAGATTCACTGTAAATTTCTATTAAACATAAAAACTTCATTTCATAGAGCATCAACAAATAGGACATTTGCAACTATCTTTATCAAATGATGGAGTGGCCTAGAGGGCTGGTGGCAGCTTTAGAGAATCTCATAAACGGTTTGGATTAGGATATAAGATCTGTTCTGCAAACAAATGAACATGATAAATTTGACCTATACACTGCAAACTCCTGGTAAGTGACATGAACCTCATGAAAAGAGTCAACAAACAATGGCTCAGGAACTAGGCAAGGAATTGCATTGCTTCTTAATGAACACTCAGGTGACACAAATAAAAGTGTCACCCTAAAGAGAGATTTTGGTGATGTTTCAGCATGCACACGCTGCACCAGTATTAGCAGCCTCTGTTTATCTATTGCTCCAATAGACCTGTAGACCTCCCAAAGGTTCACCATCGCAATAAAGACTTACTCAGATTTTTTGCAAGAATCTTGGCATTGTGACTCTTAAATTACAAACTCAAACTGAAAACCATTCAGCCCAATCTAGTCCCAAGAACAATGTAATATATGCCTGTCGTTGTGAAGATTCCAGAGCATTATCTTATGTAAAAAGATGAGCACAATACTGACTAGAATTTCATTAGTCAGAACCAGGGACTGCTAAAATTAAGTTTTGGATGCTATGTGTGAGAAACAATGATTATTTTAGGGAATTAAAAAGAAAATCATAAAGTATACACTGCAGTAAAACAATTTTTTTAAGCAAAAAGAAACAATGACTCCATCCCCAATTCTACAAGAATAAAAAGGTGACATTTTTATAAATCTAAAGCAGCCCACAAGACAAAGTGAGCAGAACTGGATAAAGTCAGCTTTCTGTTATAGCTAGTACGTTCTTAATGAAGTGAGACAAGCCTAAATATAAACTGTTTTCAATTTGAGATAAATGAATTTCCACTAAGGTTTCCAAAAAAGTATATATCTTTCTTAGTGTTGATTCCATATTAAAGTCTCTCATTTATACAATTTTTTCATATAAAGAAACCTGTATTATTTGATTAAGCAATACTGGACATCTGGACTTTTGGCAAATAATGCTATTGACAGAATTGTTCCATTTTCTCCAGATGTGTGGTACTAAACAGATGACATAATGTCCTCACCCTCCCACAGGGAGTTATGCTTAAAATAATTTCCATACCCGTTCAGTCTCTCAGCATTCATTCTTAAGTATATTGCAGTTACTCACATGAGAGCTTTTCTCTCCTCCCAATGCTCAATTCTTTGAGGGATTGTATCCTTTTCTTACAGCAAATGAGGTGGAGAAATTCAGAGGTAAATAAGCCAAAGAGGGGAGAAAACAACTTAGAAAGTTATAAACATGCTGAAGTTTAGAAACAAGTGAAATACTGTCAAAGTTCAAGGAAAGGACGATCACCTTAAACTTAGTGCATCAAGAGAAAGTTTAACTAACAAGATAAAAATGTGTGCTTATTCTTGAAAACTACTCGAAAATTGGACATGTGCATCAGGGGTGGAGGAACGCACGTTCCAAGCAAAGGAACAGAGTGACCTGCTCAGAGGTGGAAAGTATGAGGCATAGTCAGGATATCTTGAGGCGTTCAATTTAGCCACAGCATATGTCACATGGAGGGAGGAGGTGAGATCCAAGTGTGAAATTAAGTTCAGTTGAGATAACAGAGACTCTTTGACATCCGGCTAAGAAGAGTGGACATCTGACAGTACAGACCCATTGACATTTCGAACAATGGAATAGCACAGAGGAGCAGGCTCCATTTGGAATGGTTGCTTCCGCAGCAACAGGTAAACAAGATTGGAAGAGAAAGACAACGAGTGGAGTTGAAGTTATAGCTGTAGTCAATGATGGAAAGAAGAAAGGCTGCAAGAAATATTGTGGTGATCAAATTGGTAGGACTTGGAAATTAATTGGGTGTGAGAGGTAACAAAGAGTCACATCTTCAGAGTTGCAGGCCTGAGTGTCTGAGATGATGGTACCATTCAAGGAAGCAGAGAAGGCAGTTTATGGGCTCAAAAATACACGATCAGTTCCTTTTCATACATGGTATTTTAAAATCTGTTTTGGATATCCAAGTGAAATCCAGCAGCATTTGGAAACGGGGAGCCAGAGTTCAAGAGTGAGATTGAAACTAGTAGGAATCCTAGACAGAGAGGTGCTACTGTGTATGAAAGCCCTTGGGAAGTGTGAGATCCCCAAGGGAGAAGGTGGCGGGAAGAAAAATTGCTGTTTGAAGGAAAGCAACAGGCATAAGGAAGTCCCAAGATGTTGGAGTAGAGGGTTTGAAGAGAGATGAGGTGGAAGAAAGGAGATAAAGGTGCCCTGTAGTAAAATCATGCAGGCCCTTGACCCTCTAGCAATAGAATTCTGACTTTTTGAGATGAGGATTGATATTACCCCACCTGTCACGTCTAGCTTCTTGCCAGTAGTTATCAGACCTCTCAAAGGCTGATCAGTTCCCAGTCCAAACCATGAGAATTAGCAAGTGTGTATGTGTGTGTGTGTGTTTTAAAGTCTGATGAAACTGGGTATATGTGATTTGCTTTTTTTCAGTAGTTTGCAAAATTCCATTTTGATTTTTCAATTTTACTTGATAGCATTTTAATTCTGATAAGTGAAAGCATACCATGGAAGTCACAGATCTTCTGTGGTTTTCTTTGGACATTTGACTTTCTGCTGTAGGTGAAAAATCTGCTAAATCTGAATGAGAGGTGACATATATGGAATATTGGTCACACTCTGAAGATTCTTCACCCCTGACTCACAATCTGTCTCATTTCTTTTCATCTCCTTTCACTTCCTCACCTACTGGATATTAGGACACTTCCATTCTTCCATGCTGCCGTTTTCAGCCTGTTTTCACTACTCACAGCTCTGTTCATTCACACTTCCTTGGGCCTCCACATTAATGCTGTTGAACCCCTGCCTCCTTCCCTTCTCTGACTCTTCTTTAGTCATCTTGGGATAATCTCCCCATGTTCTAATTGTGTGCCCGAAAACTTTGAGAGAAACAACTCTCAGACTTCCCTAGAAGCATTTTCTTAAGAAATGTGCTCCTAAGAATCAATGACTTCACTCTTAGAGGCCATCCAAGGACCCCAAAACCCCACAAGTTCCATCTACTCTTTCCTTAAAATGACTTTTCTGTCTCATATAATATTTCAAATTATAATAAGAGTTTTCTTATTTTTTGTGTAAATAATTTATATTTCTAGCCCAAAATTTTGGCTATTTTTTTTTATATCATTCTTGGAATCTAACCACCACTTCTAAAATATCCATATGGGAAAATGTGTTTGGATGAAAACCTATTGATTTAAAAAGTGAGATTTGTGGTCTGTATTTATACACAGTCCATCAGTAAATTGAGTCCTGGCCACATAAGTATCTGTAACCAAGATATCAGATAACTTACAATGAATATAATAGCTCCATTTTTCTTCTTGATCATTATTGATTAGCATGCTGGCTATATATTTAGCACAATTAATAAAACTGTAAATAATTAAAATGTAAACATTTTATCACCATTTCAGAGTTGAGATTCACTGCCTTCAACTAACTACTTTGAATCAGAAATAAAATTAAAAGCCAAAGGCTGTGCAGGACAGACCAATTTATGATTCATTGCATGTTGTGGGAGCCAAGGCAGGTTAGAATACTTTTTTTTCTGAGAGGGGGTCAGAGGGAAGAAATAAGCTTGTTGCTGGCTGCTCCTACAGATAACACCAAGGGAGAGGGACTGGCCTGCTGTGCCAATAAAATTCAAGAGACTGGTTCTAGCCTCACTTAACTAAACTATTTCTGCCTGAATAATTTAGTTTACACTAAAAGTAATATATGTAGCTTCTCACAGCCTCCCA